AACTTGTTGAATCAACCTTTTCTTAATTAATCTCTTTTTAATTTCCTTTTATAACTTGTCTGAAAAAGCCTCATAAAAACATCTCACAACTTCCTCTTCTGAATTGATATAATCATGCTTGATTGTAAACAATTGTAAATCTTGTCAAAATTTATTTTAAAAGATTCAAATTCAGCTTCATTTGTAATTCCACCACACCTAGAAGACCTTTCTGATAAATCTCTGATATGATCAATAGAGTACTTTAATTCTTTTGATGTAGAATGATATCTAGCAATGAGTTGTTTCTTTAATTTTGTCCAACTCCATTTACCACTACCCCAGCCATCCATTTCTCTAATTTCCTCTTTCAAACTTTCTTCTTCAACAAATCTAGTAATTTGCATAACCATATCAAGTTGAGAAGCACCATCAGCTTCTGCTTGACTCTGATAATTCGTGAGAAACCTTTCAATACTTTCTCCTTCTCTAAATATAATTGAAGCATCTGAATTATTGATTTTTCTAGGTCTTTCTTCATCTGAACTATTATCACTATCACTTTCAATGTACATCCTACTAATTTTCTTCTTTTTAACTTTAATTCTTTTCTTCTCTTTAAGTCTTGATTTTTCAATTAAATCCATCATTTCTTTTTCTGTTTGATTGAATAAATTTTGTTGTTGTTCATATAATTTCTGCCATGTAGAAGCCATCTGATTACTATTTGATTTGATTTATCAGAACATATAATCAAAAAGTCGAAAATATATATATCAATGATAGATAAGGATCAATAATTTCGTGTAGATTTCAAAGCTTCAAATGAAATAAATTTATTAATGTAAGAAACTTATTTAATTTAAACTATTAATAACCAAAGTAATTTGAATTAGTAATTAATTTTTAAAGGAGAAACTCGAAATTGTTGATGATAGAATCTGGTTTAATGAATGAAGTAATCTTTGTAATGAATGTTGATGTAATTCTTAAATTGGTTTTTGGGTAAAACCTCCAATAAAATGAAAGGGTTGGTGATAGAATAGATTTGTTGTTAAAAAGAATAGTATTCCAGATTTTTCGAAATTTCAAGTCAATTGTTGTTATTTACTATTCTGATTGTTTATAATGGAATTAAGTTATAAGTTGATGTAGTATTGATCATTAGGTTAATCTCCTAAATTTTGGATATTGAATATATCTAAATTATTTAACAATGATAATGATTATTTTGATGAATAGTATTGATTGTGAATTTTCGGATTTTTAAGTTGATTGATATAATTTAATAATCTGATTTGTTTTAATTTTATATTATAAATTTGAATCTGATATTGAATAATTTAATTGGATCAAGTTGATTTATTAATTTGAGAATGAATTGTTGAATTTGATTATAATATAAAGTAATTGAAGTAATTTAAATAAATTTGACCGGTAGCAAAGTTAAGTAAAGCCCGGGGAGAGTCACCAATATGTAGAACTTATAACCCAACAAGGGTTATACAGAGCTGGAAGAGGATAATCTACTAATATAAGGACTAGTAGAAGTTGTCTGAGACTGCTCTTCTAAAACAACACAATCAGGAAAGGCTCTGTTGTATTGAGTACAGATAAGGCACCAGAGAAATATATTTTCACACGTATTTTAACTTCAAAAGCACAATTTGTATTACTATCAACACTGCTATAGTGTTATTCCCAAATGATAACCAAAGGAATAAGCAATATCTTATTGATATTATTCCCAATGAGTCTTTATGACTATAAAACTAAAGTAAATTTCTCTTTATAATTGTAATAAAGGGCGTATTTAAGTGACCAGGTACTATTAGAATAAGTTTATAATGATAAACAAAATAATAATGGCGTAAATGATAAAGAAAAAAGGGGAAAAACAATCCCAAAATCCTCTCAAAGTATGTATAACAATGTACTCCAATTTTTACAATGGTCAACAGCCTCAAAACCAATCAAATCCGCCCAGAAATCCCTAAAAACCCTATGATGACGCAATGTGATGATTTTGTTACTAATAAATGATGTAATTTTCACAGCCAAAATTGATCAATGACACAATAATATGATGTACAGCACTTCTTATCATGAATACAGGTGATTTTTCCTTGTAAACTAGCTGAAAACCAATTTTTGAGATTACGAATTTTTTCAGATGTGCTCCAATTTTTGATTACTAAAGTGCATCTTGTAGCCCTCGTGATACTGATCATTTCTGACACCTATATGACCTAATTCTGATGAGTGATGAGTAAGATATTGAGTTGTGAAGTCAAGGTTTTTAGCATTACATGCTGACTTGTGACTGTAAATTCAAGATTCACACCAATTCTTTATTTGCCTTATAACTTTTTTCATACACCTCCGCTACTATTGATTGAAAGTCTGTACATTATGTAATCCACTCTTCTGCGTTGAATGAACTATTACTCATCATTTTCTGATGTCATTTGACACATGTAATCATCTGAAAACCTTCATTTTTGACTATTTTCACCTATTTTCTTCACTTTACACACCTTTTACTAAGCTTTTCTTTCCTTCTGTAACATTAAACAGAAATTTCAAACCGTGAAAATCCCTTAAAACACTCTTGGTAACCTTATTCATTACTAATACCACTGTTACATATGTAAAACTACCTGTAAACCCTTGTTTACCAATTTCGAAAAAAGTGCCTTTTCTCTAATAACTTTTGTTTTCTCTTATCAACCACCAAGATTAAAGTTGTTACTGACTAACATAGTGCTCCTCTTCCATATTCTGACCCTACTAAACCCATAAACCTAATATTAATACCCTAAAAACCATTTCCAACCTGTATACCTCTATTTTTGAGTTTTTCTTATTTTTTTCTTTCTTTCTTTCTTTTTGTAATCTGTTTGTTAATAGTTTATACTTATCTTCTAAGTTTGTTTAAATAAATTGAGTATGTAAAGATAAAATATGTGTAATATAATTGATGTAATTCAAAATTTGATTTTTTTTTGATTTTTTGATTTTTTTTGATTGGTCTCATAGATTGATTACCACATCGGCTGTGGAGTATTTGGTCGACCTGCCAATTTGTGGAAGAAAATTGTCCAACTGACCTTCAAGTTATGCGGTCCCTTGCGTTGGGTGGATGGTAACCTCCTTATCAAAGATGTGGAGAACCAAACATTGATTGCAGACGTAGTCGCTTTAAGTGACTCCATGGGTGTGATGTCTAATCAAGAAAAAGTGCATGAGTTCTCTGAAGAACAACGTTACATTGGATTTGTTTGGAATGCTACCAAAAGAACTGTTCGATTACCAGTGGAGAAGTTTGATGAACAGATGGCTCAACTAAACCATTTCTTGACACCGGGAGAATCGTTTACCTTCAAAGAAACAGATCAGTTTGTCAGACAATTGGTACATACAACATATATTGTACCTAACATGAGGTGTTATATGCCTTGCCTATATAAATGGAAAGCAGAATGGAAGGTCTTGTCAGCAAAAAGGAAGCTTCCCAAAGATGCAAGAGTTGACCTAGCGGAATGGAAGCTTACATTAGACACTTTTGAGGCCCAAAGCTTTGTACCAGAAGTAGATACATCTGATGTGGGTTGGGTCAGTGACACCTTTACCTCCTTGGGTATTGGCATCTTTGTTGGTAACCGCTGGGCTCAATTCAAGTTCAAAACGGGATGGAAAGCTCACCTTAGATCGTCCGAGAAAGGTGGCACAGCTTGGGCTGAGACAGCCACTATACGCCTCGGCTCAATGATGGTTAACAAAATCCATAAAGTCAATGGAAAGAAGTTTAAAGTACTTACAGACAATACAACCTCTGAATATGTTGTGTTGAAACACCACTCTAGGGACCATGCGGTTAACAAGGAGTGGAAAAAGATCCAACACCTCCTGGTAGAGCTTCATTGTGATATAACGGTGGAGAGAGTAACGTTGGCTAACAATGACGCAGATGAGTTGTCACGTGGAATAGGGAAGGTCCTTCCGAGAGAAGACACTGTTGATATTGAGATCCCAGCTGATTTAATACCTGTATTAGAATAAGTGTTTCAAAATAACTAATTGTGGTTTCCCTGAGAGTCAATCAATTGAAATGCAAACTTCTTCCTTTTCCCCCCTGATTGTTCCCCCTTCTTTGCCTGTGACTTTTCCAAGTTGAAGTGAGAAAGACAACATCCTACCATTTTGCTTTGTTCCTCCTCTACCTGCCAAAAAAACAAAAAAAATCGTTTAATTCGATTCCATGAACTCCCACACACCACATTCATCATCAATGGAGTTTATGGTAGGGAGGACGGAGTATATACCATACGACCCCGTAAAAGCTTATATCCTCTATGGTAGCTGGAAATTTACTACGATCAAGCACTATAATGCAGGTGTTTCAAAACTTGTCATTTTTGCAAAAACCTTTGGTATACCCCGCACCGCACTCCTGCCAATTTGTCCCGAGTATCTATACCAGTTTGTCCTTTTGGCTGGCCCAAAGTTACCGGGTGAAGGATTGGAAACGGACCCAAATCCTATCAAATTGACAACGATTACAACGTATCTGTCCGGTATCAAGGCATGGCACCTATACCATGATTTTGTCTACCCCCACAATGCGACTCCAAGGATTGAACTCCTGTTGACTACGGCAAAGAAACTGGACCTCATCAATCGAGAAAAGATTCCAAAAGATCCGGTTCTAGTTGCTCACATCTTCAGACTATTGGAGGAGCTAACCGGCGGAAATCTGGAGAGCCAAACGGCTTATACGGTGGCTCTAGTCGCCTTTTGGGGTATGGCCCGCCTCGGAGAACTTTTAAAACATCCTAATACGTCCGACCAGGTACGAGTGAAGGACATCATTTGGGATCCAATGGGGGAATTTGCAACAATCCGAATCAGATCAGCAAAAACAGCAGCTGTTGGCGAAATCCAAGAAATCCACTTACGGAAACAACCTTCTCTGCTGGACCCAGTAAGCGCCCTTCGGCGACTCATCCAATGCACGCAAGCTACTGAGGACGACACACTGTTCTTCTACCCAAGTGGTGATCGCAAGACTTGCAAAACTCTGACTAAAGCTAGGGGTCAGGCTATCTTTGATCAGGTCTGGAAGTTGTCAACAACGTCGAAACTCACAGGGCACTCCTCTCGAGTGGGCGGCGGTTCCCTTAGGTGGAATTTAGGTTGCAACCTGGAGGACATTGTTGCGATTGGCTGCTGGCAATCAAAGGTGTACCAATTATATCTACGGAAGTATATCAAGGATGAATTAAGAGAGACCTGCCTTTTACTAGAACAACTTCTCCTCGTGCAATGAACTCCTTCAAGAGCGCCATCCTTGCCATGCACGTATGTGCCCTCTGTTTGCGATGGTTTGTGTGGGTGCACGGCACCTGAGTGCGTGGGGCGGTCTTGGTGCCTAGACTTGACCCGGCCCATAGTAGTGGGGTTTCTCAGGCTCAGGACTATGTCCTGAGTCGAGGGGAAGAGCTCCCCCATCTACCCGGCCCGGTAGTCCTACCCCCCTTAGCCGACCCGGCGAAGGGGCCCCCCCAAGTAACCTAGAGTGTCCCAACACGAGACTTTTGGTTTGCCTAGGACAAACCAATTGCTTGAAGAAATACATATTCATGACATGTCATGTCATGTGATTTCTCCTGCATCACATTAGTGACACACACTCCAAGAGATAGCTATATGAGAGAATGAGTGGATTGACATATTAATGTAAGGATGAGATAAAACCTAGGTCATCTAAGATAAACACCTAAAGTGAACGAATTTGATCAATTAACCGCCATAAATTCATATGGTACTGGACTGTAATGAAATGGTATCAGAGAGAACCATTGCTAAACCAAAAACAAAAGAAGGTGCGGGTGGGCAGAGAAAATATAACTCAGAGTTCCATAACTAGAATGAAAAACTTGTGAGTGAACTGTTGAGAATGAATATACGGATGGAAAGGAAAACAGTAAAGAAGATGTGGTAATCATGCAATGACGTCAATGATAATGCTTCTTCACCAGAAATCTGTTGATAATCAAGTAACTAACTTCAGCAATCAAACTTGTCCTTAGCTGATGTACTTGAAAATTCCGCGAGAGTGACATCCACTTTAGAAATTGCCTTATTGGGGAGATGCGACTTCCGAACCTCGAACAAAACAATGAAGATGGCACTTTGGAAATATATTACCTCAGTTTTCTTCAAATCACATTCGACTAATAGGAGTGATTGGTACTTACATGTTTCCAAAAATGCAGATCACACCGTTCATACCCTATGAATTGGGTTTAGTCATGAGTAAGATACATATATGAGATTGAACAGATTTTGTACATAAGGACTACTTGCAATTCGAATAGCCAGCCAGAACCTTTGATCATGCGTAGGATCACCAGCCGGGAAAAGGGTTAACTAAAAAATCAAGAGAATTGTAAATAGGAAAAGTTCCTCATTACTAGATGAGAAGATCATAGAAATTTACTCACTACGTAGGTTGTCAAGATGCTAAACGAAACTATGATAAAGCACTCCAGCAGAGTATTTGCCATCACTAACCGATGTTGCCTACGAAGGGTCTCACCTATGACACGATTTCTGAGATTGCGTACAAACGAAAGAAAAATCGGAGGGATATATATCTACTACAAAGTGAGAATAGGTCAGTTGAACAGCTGTAGATTTGAGTTGTCTTCAAAGCATAGATAGCGGACCAGAATAACGATTACAGAGATAACTAGGTAAGAGAGAAATCCCCAGCGAATGTAATATGTCAAAAGATCCTAGGTCAGAAAGATTTTTAGGGGTCAGCGTGTGTTTACTCCAATATGTTTTGAGGTAGAACTTACAAAGTTCTTTGTGGTCTTCATGAGCGGAATGAGTGATTTGGCCAAACGCACAGGTCGGTAGTTGGCTGGGGAATAGGAAGAGGCTAAGCGAATAAGATGTTTAACAACAGGGTAGACCACATCTTGCATTTGGATGTATTGCAAGGTACTCTGAAACCACGAATAGAGGATCGGAACTATAACATAAAGATAGCTTCAGTCTTTGTTCTGAAAGCTCAATCACCGATTCCTGTGAGAAAGCTGACTGGGTGACAAAACAGTCATTGCTAATAAGAATCCGTTGAGAGCCCAAATCAGAGGTTTGGGCATCGTGGTTGCAAGGCTTAACATATAGTGACAGATGGACAGCCATAGGATCACTATTGTATAAGTCGTTTCTTCAGTTTGTCATCAAGGAACCGGAGGGGCACTGATTACTCACCACTGCAACATGTGTTAAGGTTAGCGATTCATAGATGGCTCAAGCCTGAATACATACAAACTTACCATGCACAGGTGATTGTCACGGTACATTTCACACCACGAATCATACTGGGCCATGCCGGCTGCAATATACCAGCTGATACCAAATCCCCACATATGATATCTGACAATGCGACTTTGGGTGGCGAAGGAAATACACGCAAGATTACCATCTGGAATTTGATGACTCGTGGATGAAGTAGACTAACGGAGGCCGTAAAGTAAGTAGCACAAGCCACAATGGTTCGCACGATCGAGCTGAATCAAACCGACTGTTCGTCAAGATGATCATACGGGTTAGGTGTGAAACCGGCAATGATAAGTTATGGGATGTAGATCTCACTCACGATGGTTGGTACCTATGTGATAAAATTTCTTTGTCTTTGATCGAATAAAGAGTACCCAAAGAGCTTGACAAGACATTCTTGTGACCAGTAATAAGAGATGATGTCAAGCATACTTTTGTAGCTTTGATCTGCATGTGAAGTCAACGTTGGGTGCTCACATTAAAAAACCTAATGCGATAATGTGTTCGAGACAAAGCCACCCAAATGGTAGATACGATGGCTGTGTTGGTCGCAGGTATGTTCAATTTTTGAACCAAGAAGATCGACATCAGACAAGTTCAAAGGGGAGTTACCTGAAGTGAATGTTGCAGGTAATGAGCCGCGGCTTGATAGGGGTTCTCATCGGGAGTTAGGTTGAATAGGAATTTTTGCATTTGGAAGGTTACTAGTTGAGACATTGGAAATGAAAGCAGATGGTGATTGAAGTTCAAAATAGATGAAGTGGCTAACATCCATATATAACCTTATATAACCTTATATTTCACCAAATCTAATGTCCTAGGGAGAGAGTCCTTGTTAATGAGCAATACCGCCTTGGTTTAGTGCTTAATGACTAGAGCGGACGTTCATTGAAACTATTCACATCAATTTGGAAAGGTATGTCAGCCGTGGAGCAGTTATTGTAGCGCTGGAGGCCAAGAGGTGTTAGCATTTTTATGAGTCATACTACCGTGACAGCGGGAAGGGTTATGCTTAAACAAGGTCCCTCTCGGAAAATCGAGGGAAGGCTCGACAAGAAGGCTCAACAATTCTTTCGATGTTTGATATATGACCTGAGCTCACACTCAAATCTCTCAGCGTAGGCTGTCCACGACCATGCACGGGCTTGGGTCGGGGTGAGGAATGATCAAGCTGAGAGCAAACTGAGCAAACCAAATTCAACCAAGTTACTTTAGCGATGAAGATCTTGGTCAAATCTCACTTCAGAATCAGATCACCTCCGTTAGGATTTAATATTTCTCACATTACATCTTTTTGTGATCGAAATGAATCCAGATTGGGTCGCCTTCAAAAAGCGTCGGGGTATGAGACTGATCATTTGCTATGCATAATCATCATCAAGAGCTTATAAGCATCAATCTTCATGACAAATACAAGAAAGGGCAGCTGTCGTACACAGCTGAGAGTAAGACGAAGTTGAGATTCGATTACGAATAGCGCACACTTGTTACTGTAGGAGCCTGGAAACGGTTATCTGAGAGCTTCTTTGAGACTGTTACTCAGCTTGGGTCACCTACACAGTAGCCTCAGGAGCAATCGAAGAAAAGAATATGATGCCACTTGGTTCACAATTATTCTCAGAATCTCAACAAAAAACACCGACCAGAAACCCCTCAAGCAACTTAAACTCGACATCATCGCCACCATCACCGCCACATAATCCATCCTCATATTTGAATTGATTTTGATCATTAAAAAGGCATCAAGTGGATGTTGAGTTATAACGGGGCTATCCATTTTTCAACTGCGTGTCGTACACTACTGATGATGATGGCACCAAATGGCGGAATAAGCGGCCTGGCCTGAACTGCTTTATAGTCAATTCACTCTATTTTCATCAAATTACGTTTCCCAAAACAAATGCAATTTTAAGGAATTTACTTATCAGTGAATTTCAATGCAATCCTTGCACAAGCAACTCAAATTGAACAACTTTATCAAGAGGGATATTCAGTTTTGATTTATTTCTGATAATTGAATCTGATGACCTATTTCACGGGTCCATTGAGCTTATGATCCAATTCCTGTTCATCAGAATCAGATGCAAAAGTCAATATGAGATTTTCAAAATCGTTCACTTACGTAATAATTCATGTGAGATAAGAATAAAAGATGTTATCACGGACCATATATTCATCACAGGTTAATGCGTGTATAAGTACATGGCATTGAACTCCACGAGATTCGAAGGCTTCAACCACTTTAGGATCAAGAATCCTATCTTGATTATCTTGATCTTTGACAAACACAATATGTTTGAAATTGGGAACTTTCTTCAACGCATCCACACCAGCATCTTCCAAAGCAGCTAGCCAATAACCTTCACTATGGCGCAGGTCTGTAATCAATGTTCTAATATTCTTCAACATAGGGACATTCAGCCAATGGATCTCTCCAGTAAGTTCTTCAACACATTCAGTTCTCATGACTCTCAAGTTTGGAAAATGTAAGTTTCTGACATCAGTATGAATTTGACAAGTAAAATGAAGTGTGAATAGGCCTTCCAATGTGTTTTTGATTGGTTCAAAGACGGGATATAAAGCTTCGTCTTCCTCAGTGACAGCATCAAGTTGAATAAGTTTCAAAGTATCTTTCGAAGTTTGGGTAATACGAGAAAGTCCTAAAGGATCGTCTGAATACATATAAGAAAAGGATCGTAAATTCGATAAACTTGGAGGTTTTATAATCAAAGTTCCTAGCATGGTATAATGAAATGATAGAGAGTCAAGTCTAGGTATTGCTGTGAATAATTCGGATATAGAATCTAAATCGGATCTTCCAGCTGTTCCAGGTTCTGAATAATCGTGCCCATAGATACTCAATGATTTTAGATTTCTGATGGTTTTCATAGCTTCGATCAATTGAGTTGAAACACCCATAGAACGAACAAAGTGGAGGTTCAAAGTCTTCAAGTTTGTACCAAGCAAGTTGATTACTCTAACCAATTGATCCATTGACGCTGGAGTCAATTCTTCTTCATCTGGAAAGAGAATCCAAAATATTCGTGAGCCAAGTCATTCAAAATATTAGATGAATCCAAAAAGTCAAATCGAAAAAAAATGAACCAAATCACCATAGTATTTCTCACAAACATCGTCTGCTTCTTCTTCCCCCAAATAACCATTTATTCCTTCACAAAGGTCGTCTGCTTCCTCTTCCTCCAGATCACCATCTGTTTTCTCACCAACGTAGTCTGTTTCTCCTTCCTTCAAATCACCATCTTCTTTGTCACAAATATCGTCTGCTTCTTCTTCCTCTTGTTCTTCTGATAACCAATTTACTCGGATTGTGAGTGTGTTAACAGGACAATAGTCAGCAGGTCCAAACAAATCATTCCAATTTTCCAATAATATCTTCGCACGCCTTGAACCAGCTACACAAATCGCTCTGAAATAAAACTGTAGAACAGCTTTCGACCAATTTTTTGAAATTAATCTCAATTGAATTAATTCAATATAAGATGATGCTTTAAGATAAGGTGTTGTAGTGATTGAAGTAAATTCAAAGTGTTTATCTAATCGGTTTTCGAATTCTTCTAAGATTTGATGAATGATTTCTACTGGTAATTGTAATCTGTTGATTTCGTTCATTGTTTCGTTTCTAATAGGGCATCTCAAGTCAAAGAAAACCGTGCAGGGATTCGAGCTGATAGCTGAGCGAACTGCTCTTGAACTACACCGCTGAGTCGCTGCTTGACTTGAGGACCCTGTGTTGATTTCCTTTTAGTGGTGGTGATCAGTTTGTTGGAAGAGACGTTTGAGTCACATGATACCTGAAGCTCGGTCCCACGTCATGCGTTGGCGGGTCGGAAACACAATTGAACCCGGGCGTAGCTGGTACCGCGGGTGAAACTGTAGGAAGCAATCGAGTTGAGAAATTGATCGAGAAATCAAAACCATGACCAACTTCATCAACTCACCTGGTTTACATTTCTTCTCACATTCTCAACAAAAAACTAACACCTCATCAAGATCAACAACATCAACAACATCAACATCACCAAAGCTACCTCACAATCCATTCTCGTGTTTAGAATCACTCAGATCATTAAATAAAAACTTCAATCAACTTCATACTTCAAATCTTTCAACTGGTCTCTCAAGACTTATCATTAGAAGTCATCCCTCAAATTCAAACCAAGAAGAAGAACCTCATGAAGAACTTGTTTGGAAAGCTTCTCAGCTGATCTGGTCAAAAGGTTCAATCATTTATCGTAAATTCGATTTTTCAGATCCTGCTATTCCTCATAATGGCGACTCAAATCAAAATCATATCATTCAAGCTCTCTTTGCCAACTTCGATCATCCATCTTCTCAACTCTCGAATCAAAACTCTCATCATTCAAATTTACCTCAATTCTCTTCATCATCTTCAAACAACCATCAATCCTTTCAACCTTGGTCTGATAATCGACCACTTAAGTCTTTTGATTTTTCATTATCTCAATCACCTGTACGCGCTCTTTGCGTGCTCTTACTTGATGTACTCAAGATCTATTATCCTACTGGTGAAGAATATACTATCGCAGTTCCATTTCCGATTGCAAAACTATGGCCAATCGAACGTGGTATCTTAGCTATGAAGAAGCCAATCTCAGTTCAAGCTACACCCTTCATTCCTTATCATCCTCCTTCTCCTGCTTCTGTTAAACGTAGAAGTACAGCAAAGCGTCTGTCAGCTAGGCCTTCTGATCCTCTTGTTGATAGTATGATTACAGAGAATGAGACAAGATGGTGGTCTAGTATCGCTGGTTATGAGCTTAATGACGAAGGAGATTATTCAGATAGTGAGGCTGATCAAGAAGAAGCACAACTTAGGCGTTATTGGGCTGAACGCAAGGAGATCGAGTCATCTATGCTATGGACTCTTTCTGACCCTTGTACTTATTACTTTTTGCCAGTACTCAGCACCGAAAAAATTCACTTGAAGCCTGAACCTAATTCTGACTCACTTTCAAATGAACTCGATGCTCATGATTTTTCAAAAGCAACGGCTCCCTTGACACCTCTAGTCACTCCCCCTCGTAAGCCAGGTTGTTCATTGCCATCTGGCACGGTGGTCTTTGTGGCCGATCCTACGTTGGAACCGCTTCATCCGGTTTGCGTCACCGCTTCAACGGAAGGTTTTACAATCTTTTTATGTGGACGGCTACCACCCAACATCTCAGATGGAATCGTACAGCCATCACATTCATCTCCAAAACCGGCTCACGTCCCTACCACGACTGCTAGCATGTTACCTCCACCCCCACCGCGCTTGCCTACCCCGCCAAATGTATCAACAGTCAATCAACCTCAGCTCCGACGCAGTCCACGTAAACTTGTTAGCGCGCGACGGAACCTAACAGGTATCGAAACTGATGAAATCCAGTCCACGGAAGCTAATCGCCCTAGCCGTCTTGCCAGCCTAGGTCATCCATCCCTTCGACGCTCAATATCTAGTGCCCATCCCCGTCATCCTTCTGGTTCGATGGTTCCCCTTCCTGTAGGTACAAAGAACCGTTCAGGCACTGTAGGAGGGCCAAGCGGTGTGATGGGAGTCACTGGGCACCGTGTCAGTAATGCGAGTAATTCAAGTTTTCATTTCGGTGGCGCCTCTTCAACTTCTGGGTTACGCAGGGCTTCTGGTCGAAAAAGTTTGGTGGGTCATCAACTTGAAATCATGTCAGGTGGACCGGTGGGATCATCAGTCGGTCCAACACCAATGACTATCGATCGAGCTTCGGGACCTGGAGTGACCACCGGATTCGAAGAGTGGTTTGCGGGGGTAAACGAGCCAGCTCAAGCCGAGAGAGTTGATGGTCAGTTGACCGATGAGACTCTTGATCCGGAATGGGTGATTGAAAGGCTACAGACAGTAGAAATCCCGGACAGACTCAGGTGAGGTTTCCTTCTCGAATGACTAGATTGTATGTATCGCTTAAGTAGACCTGTTATACCATCCTCTTGCGATCTCTTGAACCTTTTCTCGCATGATTCAAGTCCAGAAGATTTGCCCGCGATACATGCTGCAATCTACGACGTACGTGGGCCTAAGGCGTACTTGGCTGTATGCATACCTTCAAAAGGCTTGGTGTTTACCTTTCGAATGACACGTGTTAAAGATTCTATTCGCCTAGAATCTTTTGGTCCTCCGACATCTGGGACGGCTATTGGACCAGTTCTGTCAACCAGACCTCATATTTTTGATCTGTTTAAAGCTGATGGATCGGGATCCATCGAAATCCTCTCTGCTGATTCTATGCGTATTCACAAATATATCGATTTACCAACCGAAGGTTTTCCATGTTTGTCTGATGGGTCTGAGATCGAATTCCATGTGATCCGACCAATTCCAAAAAGCTCAAAAGATGTGCGTGTATGGCCACTGGATCCCTTAGTATTGTTGATACTACAGGCATTGGCACAATCCATAGACACAGTAGTCTTTTCCAATTGGCTGTCAAGTTTCGTTACTCTTCAACTAACTTCAAAACCCGCAGAAGCGCTCGATAGTTTACTTTCAGAAGTCATCATCGGGGAGTCTCCAGGAATCAAGAATAAATCTGAGCAAGTTCAAAGCCACGAATCGATAAACGAGCTCTTGCGACTGGATCCAGCACTTTCAGGACTTCGTACCTTCAACCTCAAGATTGAAGATCGATGTTCATCATCTACACCCCCAGTTTCAACTAAACCTCTGTCAAAGCCATCCTCTCCAAAAAAGAAGATGAACCGATCTACCAATCGCTCCACTAACCCTGAATCTGACTCGATCAAGATTCAAGCCATGATAGGCCTTGGAAAGCTTTGTGCAGAATTGAGCTGTTCGACCTCACGTTCGAGTGAATCAGAAAGACTTATCAGGCTTATGCTTAAACTCACCGGATCACTCGGATGGACAGATTGGACGGAACGTTTACGACGGATGGCACCCTCGAATATACTAGCACACTGTCCCAAACTAGTGATAGCTCAAGGAGATCGATCGCTAGGACCGACAGAGCCACTGATGCCCGAACTGACTGACCATCTCGAAAGAATCAGAGCTGGAGTGAAGTCTCCTTTTGATACTACCTTTGCCTTACCCGATTCTAACCAGTCTCCCCCACCGCATTTTTATGGAGACCAAGAGATCTATCCACGTTCGAAACAAATCACAAAATTCTACAGTATATTGTTTGATCAAAATACTACTGAAGACTCGACAATTGAAGTCTTATTAGAGATGGATAAATTTCATTGGAAACGTGAAGATTTAGATGATGTACCTTGGAAGATATCATTACCTATTCGTGAAGGTTTGAGAGAATGTCAATTTGGTGCTCCGATTGGTTTATCTGCATCAGCTTATGAGTTGATTGATCGTCCTGATCTTGCGATCGTGGTAAGGAAAGATGAGAAGGGTGGTAAGGAAAGAGATACGAGGAAGATTAAGAAAACTTTCCAGGTGAGTTCTCGTTCCTTTTCTTTTATAAAATGTTACCAGATCACGGGTATGCCTGAGGTGCTAAAGTCCATCGTCACTTTATGGCATTTTCGTTCTGATTAAACTTTGGCATGTGTCGAATTGCAGATTAATACTGTGCCACCACCTAGTATTCAGCAATTGTCTGCTTCGTCAATCGCGGTTGAAAAATCTCCTATATTAGCTTCAGAAACCGACGCCATCAGTTTGATGGATGATCCATCACATGTGAATGTGGCCTCAAGATTTAGCGATGATATGAGAATTATCGAAGTGGCACGGATGTTGAATTATACCAAGGAGGCTGTGATGAGTGTTCAAGAAGCAGCAACTGAACTCTCGCCGTCAGTCCAATCTCATCGACTCTAAAAAGGTGGCAATAGCTAATCTGTTTTTGTTTGATATTGTGTCACAGCGCTGACATAGCACGTCAATTTTCAAACGTTTTTATTGGTGTTTCGAAGCGAACTATGGCCTTACCATTTGGAGGAGCCTGTTTTTGGTATCGAACTGATTCAAATATCGCTGCAACCGTACCTTTGATCAAGCTCGATGTCAAGGTCTTGCCCATGGGAGTGATCATTCAACCCGACCAGACTAAGCTTGAGCCACTGACATGGCCGAGATTTCATGCGGGGGTAGCGGCTGCTTTGAGTTTATCAGTTTTGCCCGGTGCATTCGACGGCTCTCAGATCGCGTTCGACCGACCAGATGAACCAGATGATCGGCATGCTGGTTATCTGTTTGGTTTAGGTTTAAATGGACATCTTCGTTCAATCAGTCGTCTTCAGATCTACCGTTATCTCGAAACGAAGCATGAGATGACCTCCATTGGACTTTTGCTTGGTCTATCAGGCGCATTTATTGGTACAGGGGACTCAAGAGCCAGTAGTATCATTGCTGCTCATGTACCAGCCTTACATCCTACTAAATCTGTCGAACTCCAGGTTAGTCCACTGACTCAGTCTGCCGGATTCGTTAGCTTTGGTCTACTTCATCTTGGCACTGGCAATCGAAGGTTATCGGACGGGATGTTACGAGAACTTGCACGAACTCGACGGGTGTTGACAGATACACCTGAGGCATGTCGCGAGACTTACACCCTATGTGCGGGTCTTGGTTATGGATTGGTCATGCTCGGACGCGGGACAGAATCAAACACGCCGGCGCATAAGGATTTGATGCGAACATTCAAATCATTGATCCATGGCGATGGTGCACATCCATTACCAGGTCTTAATCCACCTACTTCAACTATCGATGTTAGCGTGACCAGTCCAGCAGCCACCTTGGCACTCGCCTTACTATATCTCAAAACTGGTAGGCAAGAAGCTGTGACGATGTGCGAGATTCCTCAGACTGAGACTCGATTGGAGTATATTCGACCGGATCTCTTAATGATTAGAACCCTGGCTAAATGTTTAATCAAGTGGGATACAATCGAAGCTGAGATGAGTTGGATGGAAAGTCTAGTGCCCAAGGTGATCATAGAATCGGTCAGAAGGTCAGGAAGATTGATGGTAAAGATGAAGAGTGAAGTAGAAATGATATATTGGTCGATTGTTACTGGTGCAGCTTTGGGAATGGCATTGAAACATGCTGGTACAGCATCTGCTGAAGTTCATAAGATCTTGTTAAGCTTATATGATCGATTATTGAAAGGGGCGAATCAACCTGGTGAGTCAAGTGTCTTGTTTTGTGATTCTTTCACCATTCCTAATGCTTTAGTTTTACCTTTTTGCAGCTCTGAGTGTTCAAGGTAACCTTCGTCGCCATTGCTTAAGATCGTGCCGTAATGTGATCACCCTGGGACTTGGCATTGTGATGGCAGGCACAGGAGAGTTAGAAGTACTCAGACGGCTTAGGATTGCACATGCGAATATAAACGATTCTACTAGCTATGGTACTCATCTCGCTACTCACTTTGCGCTTGGGATGTTATTTTTAGGAGGAGGTCGATTCACACTTAGTACATCGGATACTGCGATCGCATGTTTACTCTGTTCGGTTTATCCGATATTCCCCAGCAGATCGGATGATCAAATTCATCATCTTCAACCACTTCGACATGTATGGGTCTTGGCCGTTGAGCCCAGATGTGTGATAGCTAGAGACGTAGATAGGAAAGGTGAAATGATTTATTTACCACTAAAATTGAAATTAAGAGAGATTGGCAATAGTCCGATTGAACTAAGGAATAAAGTTTTAACAGCACCTACACTTGTACCTGAACTAGATAAAATCAGATCAGTAAGAGTTGAATCACCCAGATATTGGCCTTTGGTATTAGATTTAGAAAAAAATCCGATTCATAAAGAATATTTCAATGGGTCTCGTACGATTTGGGTAAAAAGAAAAGTAGGACATTTGAGTTATTTACAAGATCCTAAAGGGACTAAAAGTATTGCTTGTAGAGGGCGTGGAGCTGAAGAAATTGCTGCTTGTGCTATTGATGATCTTGGTAGAAGGTCTAGATTGATTAGAGATGCGATTAAATCTTCTACAGGTTCATTGGAAGATTGTCATACTCAGATTAGTGGAGATTTAGATAAATTGATTAGAGGATTTGAACTTGATGGACTATCGATCGGATTGGTTGATTATATTTGTTCAAAATCAAAATCAAGAAGAAAGATCAAAGATAATGGAAACGAACAGGAAGAAAATGACTTTGCTTCATTTGTTTCTTCTTCACTTTTACAATGTTTAATTGAAAACAAAATGGAGATTTTAACCTTTTATTTTGATTTATATTTTTATCAAAACTTTCAAACTGATTCAAAATTGAAAGAAATGATGAAATTAATCGAATTTTATAAAGAAAATTTAAGAGGAAAAGAACGAAAGTTGAAGAAGAAAGAAATCAATTCTAGAAGAAAGCAAGAAGAATCAATGGAAGATATTGAATTAGATTTAATACAAGATCAGGAAGAAGAAGAAGAAAATGAAAAGATGAAAAGGTTAATTGATTTAAAGGTTTTAGAACAAATTGACAGAAAGTTTAAAAGGAAACTTGATCTATGGTCTAAGACTGAAACAGGCGGAAAAAGTATAAAAGAATATTTAGATAGTAATGGAATTCAATGGCCAAAAGAAATTGAAGAGATTGAAATGATTAAAAATTGGATTGAAATTGAAAATATACCATTACCTAAAGTAATGAAAACTTTAAGAAAATTAATTGAAGAAAGTTTTGGAAAAGATAATGAGATTGTAGAAGAAGAAATGATTTTGAAAATTAAAGGTTGGTTAGGTAGAGGGAACTTGACGGATGATGAATTTGTAGAAAAGTTTTTTGAATCTTCTAAAAGAGTTAATAGAAGGTGATAGTAGACAGTCAAAAGATGGATGAGTTTCTTTGGGGGGTTTGTTTCTTTTTTTCTTGTGCTTTTTTTGTATTTTTGTGGATCTTTCGGGTCATTTTAAAGTATTTTTACTTTGTGTTTCTTAGTCCTGAAAAATATTAAAATGGGAATCAAACAGATTACTGATTGGATTCAGAATTAGCTTGAGTTCTTCACATTGCTTGACAATTGTGCTACACATGCTCCTTCTATCATAATCTGGCCACCTTTTTATATCCATCCTTTTGGCTTTTAATTTAGAGGAAGTGGAAATCCAAGAATAGTTTGGCTTGTCAACATGTTTTCTCTTTTTTCCTGGCAACAAAATGGAATTACAAGTAAAATACAACACAATGACACTTGCCCATACTCAAATTCCCTTGTGATTTTTCTGGTGGACTTGATTTATTTTGCACAATTGGAATGTGTTGACTGTTGAAGGACTAATTTGATTTCCTATCTGGAGTCCAGGATGTAGGTCCACTCATCTTGACAAGTAGCTTCACTTAGCTTGACAATTTGAGCATAAGAAAACAATCATCACTATCTTATTATGCCTCCCATTGAGCTGTACCCCAGCCCCTTAAGAGATTTTGTCCAATTTTGCTCATCCATAGGAAATGTGGACCAGGATTTGAATGGAACAGGCATGAGTTATATGGGACACAGAGCAATCAACTATAAATAACTCAATCTTCAGTGATACAAGTTAAAAGACAGGGTAGAATGATTAGGCAAGACATGTAAGCACATAAGGGAATATAGAGCAAAAGAATCTTCAGAGTTTCAAATTCACTATTGTTCAATAAAAAATTACACATGGATCAATTTGGAAGATAATCCTGCGTGATTTATTTTATGATGACGAGGTAGCAGGACCCCGGTATGCTGCTATAAGGGGTAGTCACACAGAAATGTGACTTTTGAGCTCCCGCGGAGACCCGCCCCTGCCAAACTGCTAAGTCAGTCCCTGGCTTCATCCATAGCTCTAGGTATGTTTTAATTTTTCCTCGGAGTTCCTAATTGCGACCTTTCTCCGTCTTTGACACCACCGACTGGGCCTTACACAAACGCTGAAACAGGATGAACAGAGATGAATCCCAGATTTCACAGTAACAAAGGAGGACAGGGGACAGTAAAAGTGAGTTTAACAAAAAAGCAACTTTCACGTTCTCCATCTTATATAATTTGACCAAAGGATACATCATCAGATTCCTCTACAAATGTATCGTCTTCAAGGGCTTCCATAATTTCAGAGGGAGCATTAATTGATAGAATTTGTTTACTAGGTATTGGTAGAAGTTGAACTGATTCTGGTAATATTGATGATGAAGATGATTGATTTGCTTCTCGGAATCCAGAACTGTTGCGTTTTTCTTTACGTTGTTCTGGTTTATCAAGTAAACTTACATCTTTGTATACTCCGAGTCCTACTGGTTTTAAAGGTGGCATGTGATTGTATTCTGAATATCGTACATTGTTGTTTCTCCTACATTAGGTATCATTGAAGCTTGTGAACAATTCAAGTTCAGATCTTGAATCGAAAGGGTGTTAGCGCTTTTCATAAGCCGTGTCTCACCTCGTTCCTCTGTTTTCCCATCAAATGAGAAATGAATTCAGTATAAGACACGGCCTTGGTAATCTTCACTTGTTCACAGGCCATCTTTTTCAAACAAGTGACTTTCTTAAAAGTCACAAAAGTACAATTCATCAACTCATCAACAGCTTCTGCTTTTGGTTGACTAAAGTGTATCGGTCGTTTGTTTGCTCAGTTTCTATCTGCAATTGAGAGGCCCACAAGAGGATACATTACAATGAGGTTCACAGATCCTTCCTTGATCGCTTCTGGTTCATCTGTTTGGAACTTTTAGGTAAAAAACATTTCTGCCACTGAGGAAAAGTGGCTATCAATTTAACAAGGGACTCGGGGACTTGATAAAGACCAGACCCGAGACAGGTGAAACCCAAGTCACCATCTTGGGGAGCATAAAGGTAGACAATAAATTTTATAGGCAGGTGACTGAATGTCCATTCCATCGGAAACTGTTGCTGATGGGCTGCTTGTATGATTGTTTGACCAGGCTTGTATCGGTAAATCTCCCATGATACATACGAGAGATTCGCGCGGGATTGAGCTTTTG